CATAAATTCTGAGAAGTGACTGGTGGATAGTAACCACAGTACTTGGGGTAAGGTTTAATAATATGCATGATTGTTGGACTGCTGTGTTGTATACTTGAAACCAATATAAGACTGTATATCAGTGATATTTCAATTAAAACTTTTTTCAAAAAAAAAAAGAAATCTCTTCCCTGAGTTCCCTCCTTTTCACACTCTCCCCGCACGTTCCTGTTTCCTGTTTACCCATTTTGATTCTCCAAAGAGAGGATTTTATTTTCTTCTCTCTGCCATGCAACTGTATCTTCTTATGGAACAAAGAGTCCAAAGAACAGAGAAAGATAAAAAGTAAAGGCATTCACCCCACGCTCATGGGTTCTCAGCTCCAGTCAGAACCTTCCCCTGCCTCATAGTTTTAGGCTCCTGCAGTTCTTCTTGCTGAGATTATTGTTGCTGCCACCACTGGATAACTTAGGGCCTGGGACACAAAAGAGAAGAAAAGAGAAAATGGATTTCTCTATTCTTCTGAGTGTCAGAAGACCTCTTTCCTGTTCTTTGAACCAGAACTAGAGGGTTTCTCTTGGCGCTGTCTTATCTGCACACCTTTGGGCTGGGGCTGTGTAGTGCTTGGATTGGGAGAGGGGGGAAAATGGTGAATTCACTGCTGAGTTTAAAACTTTGAAATTCTGTTCTTCCCCAGTATTCCTGGTGCTGTTTACATTGGGTCCTCAAATAGCTAGCTGCTCTGTGTATTCTGTCCAGGTTCTACAGATATAGTCAGTGGTCACAAGAGGGTAGAGTGTGCTTACTCCCATCTGGCCTGCAACATTTTGTCTACCAATAGGAAGATCATGGTGTCTTATTAATTTTAATGTAATTTTGGTTGCCTGTGAATCCTGGCAAGGACATTAACACGATGCCAATCTTGTTTTCTCACTTTGCTAACAGGATATTTCTTACATTCAAGACATAGTTTATACATTATATTTAGCATTGATTCAACAAGTTTCCAAATATAACTTAGTATATATATTTTTAATAGAGTCATGAAGAAAGATGTGTTTTAGCTTATCTGTATTGGGGGAATTACTCCTATTTGGATAGTACTGTTTTTAGCAATAAAGAGGAATCTACAAGCCAATTAGTTGAAAAACTGATAGTCAACATAATTACGATAAACTCTGGAAGCTTTGCGCCCCAGACTAAGTAACTATAGTACTCATTACCATACACTAAAACATTTTTATATTTAGACCTAAGATCTTTTATTTTTGGACATATAAATCTTATGACATAAGTAGGATGGTTTGCTGTCTCCCTATTTTATAGCTGGGAAATCTTTATAGAGGCTGAGTTACCTGCTCATGGTCACATAGCTTTTACTATAAAGAACCAACACATAGCCAATAATTTTGTTACTCAGAGTTCACTGAACTTTCCACTAAGCCATACTCCATTATTTAATGGTATGTGATGATGTGGATTAGTTTGAACCAAAAATCCTGGGTTGTCCATAACCTTTGCTGAGGCCTGATATAAGATCTTGAAAGATAAGCTATACTTCAGGCTCTCTCTGTAAGTATTAGGCAATGTCTAAGGATTTTTAACAGAGGAAAGAACATAAAATAGTAATAGCAGGGCTTTAAGAAGGAAACCTGACATGTGTAAATTGGAAAAGAAAGATACTGGAAGACAGGAAATAGGTTGGTTCTTCAAGGGTATAGTGAGAGGTGATGAAACTAATTGGGATGTTGTCACTGGGAAGGGACATGTGTAAAACACATTACAGAGGAATAACCAGGGGGGCTTAGTAACTTACTGGAAGGTAGAGGGATGGCACAGGTAGAGATGGACTATTCTGTGGTTTTGGTCTTCAGCAAATGATATGCTACTGATGTGAGTTGAGGTTTGAGGAAAGGAAGAGGTAGGTTTCAAACTTAAAGAATGTAAAATGGTATCAGGGCAAAAAGAATTTGGAGTTCTAGACCAGGAATTCAGGACAGAACTGGAAATACAGAATTATAGTAGCTCCTCAGAAACGGGGTAGTTGAATCCCATAATAATGGCTGGAATGCTGACGGTGAGCTCAGGATGGGAAGTGAAGAGAAAACCCAGGACTAAACTCAAAGGTGTGTAAGTAATGATGTCAACTACTGAAAAGCTTTACTTGAGTATTGCTTTGTAAGTATTATATGGCTTCTGACATTTGTAAATTGCAGCCAGAACAGAGGTGTGTTTATTTATACATTCTTAAATTGAACCTGACTTCTGCAGATCCTAAGTGAGTCTAGCATTTGGCAGGTAACTGTTCACCAGAAACCTTCTCAGGGTGTACTCACTCCCTCACTATCTCCGTTTGTTTGCTTATGACCTTTTTTATTTTCCCTGCTGGGTGAGATTTTCACCTCCCAGTTACATGTATAGATGGGTTAAATGCAAACAATGTCTCAGAAGCTGATGTTCCCTGTGCATCACACCAGGACTACTTTATATTCACAAAAACTGGCAGCACTAATGATGGTTTTACCCCAGATGTTTACAGAGCCATTTGTTCATTTGTAACTCTGTGGCATTCCCAAGTGGAGGAGTTATTTGCATGTTGCTGTTTAACATTTCTAGATTTTTTTTTCCCTCTCTACTAAGGATGGTACAGTAAGTGGTCAGGAAGTTTAGAGGAGGAGTGTCATTAAATTGCTCTTTGTTAGAGAACCATTTTACATCCCCCTTTCTTCAATCTTCTAAATATGTTTGTTTGTTTCAGCATGTGAGATTGAATACTTCATTAAGAAGCATTAGGGGAGTTATTTTAAAGGCAGATTTTTAAAGACCCTTAATCACTCATGTATTATGCATGCTAAAAATCTAAGTGCGAAGGGAGTGTAGGTTTGTGGTGCTGAAATTTTCCCCTTCTTTGTCTTCCATCTTGTAGTCATGGTTGAATATTAAGTATACAGGAGTCCCCCCTTATCTGCAGGGGATATGTTCCAAGACCCCCAGCAGGTGCCTGAAGTCACGAATAGTACTGAACCCTGTATATGCTATCCTTCTTTCTGTACATGCATACTTATGATAAAGTTTATTTCATATATTAGACACAGTCAAAACTTAACAACAATAACTAATAGTAAAAGAATAATTATAACAATATACTGTAATACAAGTTATATGAAAGGGGTCTCTCTCTCTTAAAATATTGTATTGTATGCATCCTTCTTTGATGATGGGAGATGATAACATGTCTGTGATGACATGAAGTGAGGTGAATGACAGTACTGTGACATAATGTCAGGCTGCTGCCAGACTATGGTTAACCATGGGTTATGAGTAGTGTCAGTGAGAGCTCTTATTAAATGCTTTATTTAACTATCAGGTACTGAAGAATTGTATAGGGATATGTCACATCATGGCTTGTGACAAGTTATTATGTCATTTTCAAGTGGAAAATAGTATAATGAATTATTTTAAACCACCCCAGAATTGGAGCTAATATAGTTTTTCACAAAATTACAGATTTTGGTGTTATCTGTACATACATCTTCTTTGTAATGAACATGTTTTTATATTAATTTGAAGTTATTGAGTCAATATTATAATTTCCACTGATTTAAAAATCACCAAGAAACATTTTAGTTCACATTTTAGTAAGACATCTTAAAACCCTCTTTAGCAAATAAATGACTTTTCTTTCATGTACATCATCTTTATTTTATCACATTGTGGCAGTAGCTATGTATATGTCAGCAGAATTTTCCTACTTCAGTTTCCTTAACAGCATAATTCAAAAGATGTGTTTTAATTTGTACTTGCCATGATCTTATAACATAATTGGGTTTCCTTTTTGCTTAGCTTATTCATTATTTTAATTAACATTTTGGTAAATTACTTACACTAATTTTCCTATTCTTCTTTTCAGACACCTTTAATAATAAAACAGTGACATTTAGAAGGAATTGGTTGAAAGAAAGCACCATTTGTATTGAGATTAAAATTAAAAACAAATTTCAGAAAATAACATGACCAAATAAAGAAAAGGAAGTATCACATGACTAATATTACACCATTAGGCTTAGAAGTTATGACAACACATATTTATGGGGTTGGCTGACTACCTGTTTTCAAAATAAGGTTCAAGGGAAAAATGTTATTACATGTCACAGTGTTTCCATGGTACAATGGCACCATTTATTCTGTATATTTTCTTGCCCAGCAAATTAGAGAATCTAAAAGGTTGCTAGTTGTCAGTTTTATTTTTAGCCTTTATTATGATTGTCTACTATAAGATCAGTCTGATGAAAAAAACCTTAACATTATCCTCATCATTAAATAGAGAAGAATTGTTCAATGACCAACAGACTTGGAGAGAGAAACCTGGTTTCCTTGCTTTATCACTTCATTACTTTGGATGAGACTTCCATCGCTTTCACTGTTTTTTTATCCAAAAAAGTGGTGGATTGTACCAGATGATCTCTGTGGTTAAATTTTGCTCTGCACATGCCTTAACTTTCTTATGTTTGCTGAGAGAGAATCTTCTTTACCTAGTCTCTTAGAAATAAAAATGGTGTTAGGGAAAAGGCACAAAATCAGATTTTGTAGCCAATGGTCCATTCATAGAAGAATATAGAGATGTTTATACTCTTTTCTATTTTATTCAGCTCTAGTTTCTATAATGGCTGTGCACAATATCCGTGTAACTGGTACAGAGGAGCCATGGCTTATGCTGGTGTAGAGATATGGAGTCACCAAACAGGGCACAAATCCATGACATTTATGGTTAGACCTGAGAATCTGAAGGAGGTTTCCCTGACAATCCCTGTGCTTTCTTCACAAATCCATGGTTAATTTTCTTTTGAAATCGAAACCAGCCCCAACACAACTAATGTATTTTGGTGTGTTTTAAACAGATTTTAAAAATTAAAACCAATGAAGGTAAAGAGCAACGTTAGTGGTTTTCAGAAACAAATATGTTTGAACAGCTTAAGGAGAGCGAAGGTTCTTACCTTTCCATTTCCCTTTTTTGGTTGCAGAACATCAGATGGTGGCAAAGTTGTCGGCACCATAGAAGTTAGTGTCGTGAAGATGGGGGAGATTAAGGATGGGGAAGCCAGCCACATCATGACAGATGTGCCAGAACAAAAGGTAGGGTCTCAGCCAGTGCATCACACAAATCAAATCATAAATAATCAGTTTTGCCAAATGTCTGAATCACCATCACCTCTGGGGGGTATGAAATCTCATTATTCAAAAGCTAAAGGAGAAATCAGTTTTGGAATTGAAGTGCCCTCTAAGTGGGCTTCATTCTCTGAACCAGAGGGCCTATTTTCATCAACTGTGCAAAAGCCATGTGCCATTCAGAAACAGCTTCCTCTTCACTGCTGGCTCCTCTGTTGATGCTGCCTCTTCTCATTTGGAGCAAAAGTATTGATCAGTGTCACATTCTCCTATAATTAACCCTACATGAGATGCATAGCGGATGCTGAGAGGAATCACTTGTCTAAAAGTAACCACTTGTCTACTCTCAAAACCCTCTTTGGAAAGAGATGCAATTTGAATTTAGATTTTATTTTGATGTGAAGGAAGGCAGATTTAATGACTCTGTGCCTTCTGAAATCGCAGTGAGAAAAGCAGGAAAGAATATACAGTGGAGGGACAACTCTGGAAAAGGGACACTGCATTGCTATTATGAGGTGGGACAAACTGAATCATTCTCTTTTCATAACTGAAGAACTTGATACTCAGGAATATGCCCCACCAAAGTCCTACATAATATTTCTGACTTAGGAATGTGAACTTAAAGACTTAACTGAGTTGTTCCAGAAATAAGATGTGGCAGTGTCAGCAGGTACTGTGGGCAAGTCATAAGTTGACTAAAACCGTAAGCATACCAAACATTGTTGGCTGTCTGGATTCTTAGCAAACCTTGACCTTTTGTGATTTTTTTTATAAATGTACTTGACACTCTGTTGGCAATCTCTAGGAATATTCATGTTGGAGTGAGGAATACATAGTAAGGTCCACCGTGCATGATATTTAGAAGAGTTGTGTGGAAATAACTTTATCTTGGTGTTTTTCAAAATGGAGTCAGAATCATCTGGGGTGTTTGTTAGTAATACAAATGCAGGAACCTTTCTGCAGATCTGCTAAATCAAAATCCCTATGAAGTATATTAGCACAATCTGTTACTAATGGTGATTTAAGTCCTGAAGTTAGTGAGTGACTGATGCATATGAAAAGCAAAAGTAACTGAAATTGAGTTTATCTCTAAGAAAACATCCTTCTCCCCAGTTTGCATGAGACTAAAAGAAACAAATGGAACTACTTTAAGCACCATAGTCATATGGATGAGAGATACATGTTGTCTCTCATGTATATCGAAGCAAATAAAAGATTAATACCTCTATTAATCACCCTGGGCTGACATAATAAAATACCATGGTCTGAGTGGCTTACATAACAGAAATTTATTTTCTCATGATTCTGGAAGGTTAGGATGTCTGAGATCAATGTGCCGGATGATTCTATTGCTGGTGAAACTGTCTTCCTGGCTTGCGGATGTCTTGCTGTGTCCTTACATGGCTTTTCCTTGGCACTCAGGCAGAAAGAGAAAGCAAGCTTCAGTATCTTTTCCACTTTTGTTAGGACACCAGCCCTATAGGATTAAAACCCTACCCTTATGACCCCATTTAAACTTAGTTACTTTCAAAAAGGCTCTTTATCCAAATACAGACACATTGGGTCTTGGGGCTTCAACATATGAATTTTAAGGAATATACTTCAATTCATAACAATACCTCTTCTATAAAATGCTACATTTTAATCTTGAGTCTTACATAACCACCAGAGCATGGAATAAAATATAAATGAAAATACAAACTCTTTCCTCTCACATACATTTAATTACTTGTTTCCTAATCATATTATTACAAATTTCTCATCAAAGGAGGATTACGCAGAGGGTCAGAACATTATACTGGTTCAAACTTTTATTTGATAAACACATACACAGCAATAGAACAAAAAGTGTTAAAATCACATAATAGTATTAAGAACTCATTAAAGAAATCCTAACGTTGTCCTCAACAATGCTAATATATTAAGTGAAATACTGCCTTAGGTATCCTAAACTTTTTAATTTTGGAGTCATCTTTGACTCCTTTCTTCCTCTCATATAGTTAGTGTGTCAGCAAATCCTGTTGATTTTGACTTCTAAATAAGTCCAGATTCCGACAACTTGTGACCCCTTCGCTGTTGCCAACATTGTCTGTCACCTAGATTTTTAGAGTAGTTTCTTAAATGTCTCCCTGATTCCCTCTATCCCCACCCCTGGCCAGAATCATAATCTATTCTCAGCAGAATGTTTATTAAAATGTAACTCAGAACATGTCATTCCTCCAAGGGCTTCTTGGTTCCAGACAGTATAAATCCAGAACCTTTCAGTGACCTAATTTAAAGTCCTACAGATTCTGGCCCCTGTTACTTCCCTTACCTCAGTCTCTATTCCTCTTTTTTGCTCACTTTGATCCAGCCATGTTATCTTCCTTGCTGTTCATTGAACATCACAGGTACATTTCCAACTCAAGTCCTTGCACTTGGCTATTCAATCTATCTTTGTAGCATTTTCCTTATGCAACTGTATGCTTCACTCCCTCACTTACTTCTGGTCTTTATGCAGAACTTCACCTGCGAGCAGTCTTCTCTGCCACTGTACATAAACTTGCACTGCTTAGCTAAAACTTTCTGTCTACCTTCTCTGTGCTGTTTTTCCTTAGTACTTACCACTGTCCAACATCATATATGTATTTTACTTATTTATCTCATTTATTATCTATTTCCCTCACTAGAATTAAACTTAATAAGGGAAAGATATTTATCTATTCTCTTCTTTACCCCAGTGCTTAGATCAGAGCCAGGAAAAATGAATGAGTGAATAAATGAAGTCAGTTTTACTTAGAAGAAATAAAATCCAAAATTGTCTCCTAAAAAGGAAAATGTTTGGCTACCTATAATGCTGTACAAACTGTTTGGTCTATAAAGACTGGAATAAGGAGGGAGGGAAGAGTATAGGATTGTGAAGGAAAGAGGAAGAATTAAAAAAAAAAAAACCTTTGAAGTTAAGTAGCCAAGAAAAAAATGCTACTCTGGGAAAGACCTGGGAAGCAAAAATTTTCAAATCAGGTGATAGATGAGAAAACCTGTGTAAGTAACAGCCAACAGGATCACCTGAGACAGCCACAGTCCTTCCCTTTGCTGTGCCATGGAGATACCTCCGTGCTGTTAGGGCAGGAGGGTGGGGTGAGGGACATCCTCTGGAGAGGCTTTGTAGGACCTGAGTTCAGTTCAGTTCCTGCCTTGCCTCCCCCTTTTGTTTAATATGCAAATTATATTTTAATTCGGCACAGTCTTAATGATCCAAGTGGTGTTAATTTCTACAAAAGGAAGGAAAATGCCTTACTTACTATGACAGTGGCAAGGATAGTACAAGTGGAGTGATAATACATCTCCTTTGACTATGAACCTAACCTAACTAGTATTTTAATGACCTGCTGCCCTTCTCAGGTTATTTTGCCCCATTGCTTTGAAGTGGTGGTTTAAGTGGCCTTTCATCAATCAGCTATGTTCAGGGAAAAGGTATCTTGGGTATCTAAGGACCAGTCTCAAAAGGTTCTATCCCTCTATTTTCCCCAAATATAAAATTGAAGATAATATAGCTGATTTGACTTACCCTGTGGGATATTTCTAAGCATATAAAATTTATCATTCATTTATCAAACAGCATGACCTCCTATGTTCTAGGCATTCTGCTAGGTTCTAGGTATTCAGTAATTTACCCAATAGACACAGATGCTGCCTTCCAAGGAAGTAATCAATAAAAAAATAAACACTGTATTGTTGGTCAGATGGCTCTGTAGGCTGTAGAAGAAACTGAAACAAGGTGCAAAGACTAGGGATCATGGGTGGTGGCCATTTTATACCAGGTGGCCAAGGACAAACTCACCAGTAATGTTGTATTTGAGCTGGAAAGTGGAGAAAATAAGGAAGCAAGATATGCAGAAATATGAGAGGAGCCAGAATTCTAGGTCGAGGGAGTAACAAAAGCAAGGCCCTAAGGTGGCAGCATGCTTATTGTGCTGGAGTAACACCTAGGAGGCCAGTGTGCCTGAAGCTGGGGGGTTGAGGAGGAGAGTGGTAGGAGTGGAGGACAGATTCACGGAGTGGCATACAGACTGTGTGCTCCCAAGTGCGCCGTTAGAATCAGAGATGGATGTGAAGACAGTTGAGGGTTTTTGAGTATAGGTGTGAGATGATCTGATTCATGTTTCAAGAGGACCATTCTGGCTGCTGTGTTGAGGCCTGAAAGGAGGCAAGGCTAGGAGAATGAAGCTCGGTTGTTATAAAGATTCTGAGTAGCAATGAAGGTGAGTTGGATCATGGCAGTACTAATAGAGAAAGTGAAATGTGGCCACCCTCCAGGTGCAAAGGGTAGCCAGAGAATAGAACTGCCTGTTTTATAAGGAACATGGAGAGAAGCAGGTGGAGGAGGATAGGCGAATCTGAGACATTGACTTTGAAGTTCCTCTTCAGCATCAATGTATGTCAGCACTTAGAAATCTGGGTCTGGAATTAAGCTGGGATTGATCAAGCTGGAGTTTGAGAGTCATGAGATGGTATTTGGATGGTGTTTAAACCATGAGACTGAATGTGATCACAAAAGCATGGCAGTTCTTCTTTTTATACTCTTAAAATTTAAAGTATATGGATTTTACTGTATTAGAGCTTTTGCTCATTTGGATTATATCTATAGACATTTATTATATTAGAAATACAAACAAGAAAAGTTTAAAACAGAAAAGTACACAAGCACACATACCCTTAGCCATCAAGTGATCATGTAATAGAGCCTCTAAAAAATTACACTGTATGCTTATAAGAGGAAGAGAGGGAAACAGACAAATAATCTGTTAATATGAAGGTAATTTTATCTTCACCCTGTGCTAGATGCTAGAGAGGATACAAAGACAAAAGTTACCAGGGACTCCCAGGCGACTCCAGACCAAACTTTGAGGACCATTGACAGGGAATAAACTAACAGATGTGAAAGTGCTTTGCCAATAAGTTTTGGTCTTTCATGGATCCATACA